CTCATGTTTGTTTTATCGTGTGCGTTTGTTTTGGTTCTGCACCTGTCTCCGCCCCTGTTCTGTCATTGGTCTGTTACCCATTGTGTTCACCTGTTTGCTGTTAGATCTTAATTCAAGTCTGTTTATTCTCTGACGTTTCTATGTTTCATAGCGAAGTCGTATCATGCATTTGTGTCATTAAGTCTGTGCATGTTTTTTTGTTTTTTTTGTTTTTTTAGAGCTTTTTCACACTTGAATACACTCAGGACTGATTCTGGGCTTGTTTGGGGGCAGGGCTCATAATCGCAGATTTGTTTTCACATAGAATAATTCCTTCCAAACTGTGGATTGTTTGAACAATTCCTTAAGCCACTTTTGTGCATGCAAGTTTGCAAAGGTGTTGGCACTAATTTTGCTGCTTTTTAAAAATTATTTTCCTTTGGCACCAGCACTCAGGTGATGAAGGACAGCACTTTTTGGGTTAGGGTTAGGAATATGCAGGAATACCTGAAAAGAAGCAGCCAGTCATGTTTCAAAAGATTTTTTGGTTACGCAGAGTTGTGTCGCCATCTCCTTATGTTGCATCTTAGAGCTAGGTGTAACGTAGGGGGGGACTCATCCGAGATTTGAACCCAGGACCTCTCACATCCGAAGTGAGAATCATACCCCTAGACCTGATTTGGGGTTTTTTTAAGGAGGGGTGTATTACGACCAAATAAGTGCTGTGTACAGCAGCGCTGAGAGTCTATAACTTCCACATACACTGTGGACCACACTGCAGTTTGGTGGAAGATGTGAAACCACCTTAGTTTCCGGGTTTTGACTCTCAGCCATTTTCCTCATTTTTTGGGTATGGATATTCCATTATATATAAAACTATGACTATTGCAAATAAAACACAAACTGGTTTTAAACACTTGCCTCCTGCCCCTCACTCCTGCACATTACATTTATTATGTAATGTTTTTCAAATGCCCCAACAGCTGCCCTTCTGAGTCTGTTACTGCATTATATCGAAGTAAAGAAAAGCCATATTAATTGCATTACAGAGTTACTTGGACTATGAAATGTATCTCCAAAGTAGCTCCATTCTTTCCTAGCACAAAGTCATTTACAGCACCACCACAGATCTCTGCTTCTTCAAAAAATAAAAAAATAAAAATCATCAAAGTAAATGGTCAGTGTAAAAAAAACTTGAATGAGTCACCTGGTGGGAAAAACATTACCTCTGAATTGACCCAACCATCTGGTGACAACGGCACACACTGAGCGAGAAAAATACTAATCTGATGTCTCCTGCAGGATAAAAACAACCCTGCTTTTCTTTTTTAAGGCAACTCTTATGAAACATGAGGCAATGCTTCACTTCTGGGGTCTGGGAACAAGTCGCTGACCCCTTTTCCCCAATCAGTTTCCTGTTTGGGTCAGTACTATGCGTGTGTGTGAGTGTGTGGTTGGTTTCTGACATGTTTTTCCTGAGTCCGTCTTTCTCGCGTATACACACAGCCCAGGTGGGTTGGGGAGGTGGGGGGTGTTGGGGGGGGGGACGTGGGGGGACCAGGGG